AAAAAAAAAAAAAAGAATATCAGAAGACTAACCCAGTAAGTCCAACATCCAAATCATTTTCAGAAAGAGAAAAGGAGTTGAGAGAATACACAAATAACTAAATTTCTTAGAACTGAAGAACTTGACTTTCCATACTTAAAAGTTTAAAGTACCCAGCACAATGGATGACCCATTCCCAAGTGCATCATTGGGAAAATTCCAAAATATTACATAAAAAGAGAGGTTCCTAATAGGCCTGTGGTGGGAATTGGAGGGAATGGACACATACCAAAAAATTGAGAATCAGAATAGCATTGTATTTCTCAACAACATTTAGAAGACAGAAAACAATGAATGGCCTATGCCTTCAAAATAATTCTAAGGAGGGGCTCCTGGGTGGCTCAGTTGGCTGAGCGTCTGACTCCCGGTTTCAGCTCAGGTCATCTCACAGTTCGTAGGGTCCAGCCCCATGTCAGGCTCTGTGCTGATGGTGCAGAGCCTGCTTGGGATTCCCTTTCTCCCTCTCTCTCTGCCACTCCCCTTCTCGCTTGCTTGCTCTCTCTCAAAGAAATAAACTTAAAAAATTAAAAAAAATAATCATTCTAAGGAAAAGTTTTCCCCAACCTGGAACTCTGTACTTGCCCAATTGAGTGTGACAAGAAACATGCAAGATCTATCTCCCACACATTTTCTCAGGAAGGTAAATAGAGGTGATAATCAAGAAGGAAATAGGAGATTAACACAATATGGAGGACCTACCAACCCAACAGGTGAGTAGCAGGCCTAAGACGTAAACCAATCCAAACCACAACATACCAAAACAGAAGACATCCCCAAGAATGAATACCTAACAAGCTTGAACATATTGAAAGGAAGCTGGCACAAATGAAGGAGAGCTTGGGGAGAAATTAGTGTCAAGTACAAAATACAAATGAGAAAAGCTTTTTTCTCCAAAAAAGTTATGCGGAAGGAAAAAAAAAAAAAAAGCCGTAAAAGCATATATACCACATGGCCTAGTTGTGAAAAAACATAAAGTAAAAACTATTGAGCTATTCTAAATCATAACTAAAATATAGAACTTTAAAATGGTAAGAATCTGTGTGTCCATGGGCATAGCACCCTCAATTTCCACACCACCAAGTCAACAAATGATACCTAAAATTGAAAAACCAACACACAGCAAACTAAAGCGAGTTATTTAATGATAGGGAGGTAAGTAATGTGAGAATCAGCAGAGTTGAAAGTGGGGTCTCTGGGAGGTGGAAAACAGTGTTGTTGCTTTTTTTATAACTATTTGATTTTTCTTACACTAGGTGCACTACAACCATGAAAGGTGAAAAGTAAATCTTAAAAAAAGATAGCTTCACGTAGCCTAGAAGATAACAAAACTAAAATTGCAAGAGTAACAATGATAGTGATAAGTTAAAGGGTTATCTAGCCCATATATACTACCAAGGAAGATCACTAATGATCTTTACCTGGTATTGCTCATATCGATTTAAAAAAAAAAAAAAAAAAGAAACTCAGAATAACCTCTTCCACTAGGGAGAAATTCTGTATATAAATCAAGTAACATATTTACATATAGTAAATTAGATCTTACACCAAATCTAAATCTCACCCACAGGTCAAGCACTTGGTATAGAAGTTGGTTGGAAGGCTAAGTTTCCTGGGTATACAAGAATACCTGAGCATACCCTTTAGGAGCACCATTTTGACTTATCTAAAAGCCATGTAATTGCTCCTGTTTCTTAAACAGGCAACACTCAACAGTTACCTTGTATTTTTGTTATGACTTAGGGTTTATATACATCACTGATATATGTCGTATGTTGTCAAATACACAGTGTCCTACTGTACTGAATATAAGGCTGTTTGTCCTGACATTAAATATTGATGGATCTTACTGTGCTTTTAGTTAAGTTTGTTTTTAAGTTTCTCTTCCCCTTTACTGCAGTCAGGCTAGCATTGTCTCTAGGTACTTGGTAATAGCAATTCTTCCCCCTTTCAATTTGTAGCTCATTTCACCAGGGCTTCAAAACCAGATCATTGAGTTTGTTTGCAGCATAGAATAACAACAAACAGGCTGACACTAAGGGAGAAAGAAGCCACCCTTAAATAATTACAAGGGTTTTAGCATATAAGCTAAAAGAAATGAGCAAAAAGACATTTACTGTATCATGGATAAGTGAATACTGAAAAGCTGGATTTCAAATAGAAATGTCTGATTATATTTCAGCTGATTCAAAAATACCGACTGATCATCAAATTCCATATATAATACTGGAGAAGTTTCACGTCCATTGAGAACAATAATTTCACTGCCTTGAGTCTTTCTTCAAAACTTCAAGTGATCCTCACTTGATTTATTCTTGCTCAAGAAAAAAAACAAAACAAAAACAAAAAAACCTAGCTAGTCCCAAAGAATAATGGTGAGATCAGGTCTGGCTAGTCGACTACCTTCTGTCCCTCATAAAAGCAAAGAGCTTCTAAGGACAAGAGACGTTAAGAACAGAGACATGACGGCAACACACTGCCTTTCCTGCCCAGAAATGGCACTCCTCTGGTTCCACAAACATTTATTTAATAAAAGTTTACTAAGCACCCACCGTATGCAAGGCTTTGTGCTAGGTGCTACGATTTTTGAAATGACAAAATTATTTGTACGTGTAGGATCTGAGCTAGACCTTGATAGTGTTCCTGATTTGAGAGAGACAGAATGCCCCCACGGGGTTCAATTAGGAAGCTAAGAGCATGGACAAGGTCTGCTTTCCCTCCTTCTATCAGCGCCCAGCACAAACTTTTGCCTTTCTCAAACCAGCCATAAGTCAAAAGAAATAAGGCACATTAAAAAAAAAAAAGTTCCCCCCTTTAATTGACCAAAGTAAAGCCATGACATTTCATTTGGTAACCTGCTCAGAATTATAAAAATCGTTCCATTTGGCCCAGCCCATACTGCCCAGGGCAAAAATTCCAGACAATACTAATCCCATCGTGCTCTGTTCTTATAAACTGCATATTTAAAAAACGTCTTCAGCGTCCTAAACGTGACGCGTTCAGTGCGAAGCGTATCAGAGCTGGCTGTAACATTTATGTCCGTGACAAGCCTCGATTATCCAGGTCCTTTACCTGCAACATAAGGATGTCATTTTAATATTTATGATCAGGTCAACTTTGGAGAGCTTCTCTACTGAGTTGGGTTCTGCTGCCTGGTGTGGTTTTGTGACAAAACGAACACAGGTTTGAGACTAGCTACTCTCTGCTTAGCCTTTAGGAGTACCTCTCAAGAGTAGAATAAATGGTCTACCTGCCAAATGTATCAGGGGTTGTCAATCTTTTCTTATGTAAGAGATATAACACATTTCTGTGTAACTCTATGCCATAAATTCTTCGGGGGGGGGAAAGAAAATGTAGTGTACACACACACACACACACACACACACACACACACACACACACACACATTTTCTCCCCTCCAAGCCTGATAATTACTAAAACAGATCAAGTACAGCCCCAACTGGAAAAATAACACTGTAACCACAGCCAAAATGACAGCAGACTAGGTGTCTACTCTCTAACAACAATCTAAAATAAAAATATTAACATTCTGAGTTGCAAACTACTTTTCTGACATTAGAAAAGTCCCTGTATTAGGGGAGCCTGAGCGGCTCAGTCGGTTAAGCATCCGACTCTTAATTTCGGCTGTCATATCTCATGGTTCATGAGTTCGAGCCCCATGCCAGGTTCTGTGCTGATGGCACAGAGCCTGCTTGGGATTCTCTCTCTCTCTGCCACCCTCCCACTCACATGCTCTTTCAAAATAAAAAAACTTAAAAAAATAAAGTCCCTATATTACAAATATGTGGCCCATTCTTAAGCACTAGAACCAATCTGCAAACATGAGAGCTGCTTTCTCAGTGTAGCACCTGCTCACCTTATATATCCTGACTAGCCAATGTTCTGTGGTATATGCTTCCTCCAGGACATCAAGTTCAAAGTCTTTATTCCCAATCTCAGCATTCCGGACACGGTCAAAGCCTGGTGGGCGCTCTAGAATGGAACAAAAAAAAAAGAGAGAGAGAGAGAGAGAGAGAGAAACACTTCTTTCTACAGTGCTGATTTCCTAAGGAAAGAGTAAATCAATCTGATAAATCATCTACCAAATGGAATGTTATTTCTCAGCCTGTAGTTTGTGTAGAGAGTAGGACCTATACAAAAAGACATCAGGTAGTAAGCACAGATCAAGTGTTACCTTGACTCAAGTCCTCTCCAAGTTAATGCTTGGCAAATTCATGGAGGCTATCTCTTTTAAGAGATGGGAGGCTGACTTCCCAGCCCCTCCTTTCCTGGGGATGCTACCCAGAGGCCTCTGTGTTACACTAGTAACCCTTCCATGGATCAGAGAAGAACCTATCAAAAGTCAAAGGCCTGCCTCTCTCTAAAAAAAAAAGTAAACTAAAAAAAATTTTTGTAATGTTTATTTCTGAGAGACGGTGGAGGGAGGGGCAGAGAGAGAGGGAGACACAGAATCTGAAGCAGGCTCCAGGCTCTGAGCCACCAGCACAGAGCCCGACATGGGGCTCGAACTCACAAACTGTGAGATCATGACCTGAGCTGAAGTCAGATGCTCAACCAACTGAGCCACCCAGGCACCCCATAAAACTAAATTTAAAAAATTTTTAAAAAAGGGAGGGAGGCACCTGGGTGGCTCAGTCGGTTGAGTGTCAGCTGGACAGCATGGAGCTGCTTGGAATTCTCTCTCTCTCTCCCCTTCTGCCCCCACCTCAACCACTCATGCATGCATTCTCTGTCTCCCTCTCTCAAAAAAAAAACAAAAAAAAACAAAAAACAAAAAGAAATCAAAGACCAGAATCCACTTCAGGAATTGTCCCTAGTGCAGAAACAAGAAATTAAAGTCAGAAGGAAAGACTTAACCTAATCAGATTAGTCTCCATGTATTTATTTAAGGAAATGAAAAGTCCTTTATATCACTGTATCCCCCTTCATTCCTCTCTCCATTCCTCTCTCCTCTTTTACTGAGAGGCAATAAAATGTAATGGGTAAAAGTACAGAATTTAGAGCAAGACCGCCCAAGTTTAACCTAACTCTGCCACTAGTTAGTTACGTGACATTGGGCAGGTAAGTAACTTATTTGTACCTGAAATTCCTCATATATAAAATTGAAATAATATTAGTATCTATGTTTTGAGTTGTAGTGAAGATCATATGAGTTCATAGATGTAAAGCACTTGGAGCAATGCCTGGTATCTGAAAAAACTGTATGTGTTAGCTATCACAGTTCTTACTGTGTTATTAATGTTATAAATCACTCACTGGCTTCTGTGTAGACCTGTCCAAAGCGGTAGTAACACATCTTGTACATAAGGCAGTTGAGCAGCACTGGAGAACCTTCACGGTCCACACGGAATTCCCCAGTTGGAGTATAATAATCATGCTCCTTAATATGTTTGCCTGTGTCGGTGCTCCCTCCAATGCGGACCATCCACAGAAACTTATTGATATCTAGAAAAAAGTAGAAAGAGAATTGCTGTGTCACAAAGGCTGCTGGAGCTAAATCACCTAATGCAAAGCTACCATTTCTTTCCTTGTTGTTTTTTTTTTTTTAACTGAAGCATAGTTAACATACAATATTAGTTTAAGGGGTACAACATAATGACATGACATTTGAAAAAGCCACTATTTCTAAGAAAATCCCTCATTTTTAAATGGGAAATAGTACCATTTAAGTCTAATTTTTAAAAACATGAAACACAATGTGGCAGCAAAACTTTTCCCTCAAAATTTACAACTCTTCTGTAGATTATTCCTGAAATCCTGTGCTATTGGTCCAGAGTTAAGTCACAAAGATAGTATTCCCAGGTATGAGCTGGGCTGAGCTGTCCAATATAGGAGCTCTATATACTAGCCACCTGTAGCTACTGACACTTGAAAGGTGGCTAGTCCAAATTAAGATGTGCTGGAAATATAAAGTACATACTGGACTTGTAAGACTTAGTCCAAAAACAAAACAAAGGAAGTAAAATATAAGGAACTCATATGTCTTAATAACAAAACCCCAGGGCTGCCTGGGTGGCTCAGTCGGTTAAGCCTCTGACTTTGGCTATGATCTCATCGTTTGTGGGTTCGAGCCCCACATCGGGCTGAGCTGACAGCACAGAGCCTGCTTGGGATTCTCTCTCTCTCTCTCTCTCTCTCTCTCTCTCAATCTCACTCTCTCTCTCTCCTCTCCCTGCCCTTCCCTGACTCATGCTTTCTCTCTCTCTCAAGATAAATAAATAAGCTTTAAAAAAAAAGGATTTAAAAAAAAGTAACAAAACCCCCAAATAATCTGATTAAAAATGGGCAAAGGACCTGAATAGACATTTTGCCAAGGATATTCAAATGGTCAACATGTACATGAAAAAGTGCTCAACATTACTAATCATTAGGGAAATACAACTCAACACCGTAACGAGATACCACCTAACACCTAATTATCATAAGACAAGACATAACAAATGCTGGCAAGGATGTGGAAAAATGGGAAACCTTATATCCCGTTGGTAGGCATGTAAATTGGCATGTAGTATGGCATGTAGTGGTATGTAGCCACTACATAAAACAGTATGGAGGTTGCTCAAAAATTTAAAAATACAACCACCATATTATCCACCAATCCCACTTCTGGGTATATATCTGAAAGAATGAAATTACTATCTCAAAGAGATAACTGCACCCCCATGTTCACTGTACTTTACTTATAATAGCCAAGACCCGGAAACAACCTAAGTGTCCACTGATGGATGAATGGGTAAAGAAAATGTTATATCTATATATCTAGATACACACACACACACACACCACATACATAAAATGGAATACCATTCAGCCATTGAAAAAAAAGAAAAAAAGGAAATTCAGCCATTTGCAACAACAGAGATGGACCTTAAGAGCATTATGCTAAGTGAAATAAGTCAGACAGTGAAAAACAGATACTGTATGATCTCACTTCTATGTGGAATCTAAAAAAACAAACTCAGAAACAGAAATCAGAATTGTGGTTGCCACAGGCAGGGGATGATATGGTAATTTCCTTAATCTCACACAAAAAAATTACAGTATGTTCCAAATAATGACATTTATTTTTATGCCAGCATTAAACACACTTCTGTGCACGTTAGTAGGCGATAAAAGGTCAACTGACTGAAAGTGGTTACTTAACAATGGTTAGTGCTAAAACCTCAAGAAATTATCCCTTTCTACCACATATATGTGTACAATGATACATATAAAAATACATATACACATAGACATACATACACAAATGCTTTTCTATAGGATTTGGCTATATTGTGACTATTAGAAAACCTATAAATAATTACACACAAATAGTGCTGGTGTGATTGTGAAAGTTCAAGTCTGTGAACACATGTCCCTGCTCTCATCATTCCTCCTCTGCTGTACAAGACACACAAGAAAACCAATCTTCTTACTTTATACTTGGCACATTACACATACTATATACATATAATCTAAAATTTAAACATCTTTACAAGCAGGCATATATTCAAAGAAAACTAAGATAGAAATAAGAGGTAGTTAGTAACTGCAGGAAAAGAAAAATTATTCGAGGAAAGACTGTAACCATGGTATACTGGTTGACTCAATAATGAATATTTACATAGTCAGGACTTTGAAAACACTTTATCTGGATTTAATCAACAACTAAAAATTAACTCTACTAAGGAGAATCAAGAGGAAAAGGAGGGAATGAGAAAAGGTAAAAAGAATGAAATTTCTTACCTACAATTATAAATTGATATAGCATATATAAAATGCTCAATGAATAGAATACACGTATTTTTTAAATATGAACATAAGTACTAGAAGAAACAACTAGAGAAATAATTGCCTCTGGAAACTTGTATCATAAGGGAGTTTAAGTTTAGGGACAGGGTACTCCCTACCATTTTTTTGTTATAAACCCTCAAAAGAATTTAATATGTTAAAGTATATAAAGTATTGCTTTAATTTCTTAAAAGTTTTTTTTAAGGCAGCAAACCATGTTTTGATGATTCTTCTAAAAATAGAATTTTGCTAACAATCACAGGGAACATGGTAACATATACCATACATATATACATATATATATGTATATATAACATAACATATGCCATACATATACATACATATACATACATATATATATATATATCTCAAATATGAAACATTTTAAGCTGGCAGATGAATCTATGGCTTAAACCCACTAAAAATGCTAATTCTAAAGTTCATTTTCAGATGCCTTATGTTTTTTTCCACACTGTATTTTACCTGTTATTATTTTTTATTTGATTTACCTATACTGTAAAATGATCGCCACAATAGGTTCGGCTAAGCTTTATGTTCTTTGTTTCCTGGTTGTAAGCAACTCCTAGGTCTTTAGACAACTATACCATGCCATATCTAAATGAGAATTATTTACATTTACCTCCTACTTGTTGCCAAAAAAACCAAAACAAAACAACCCCTAACGTTACAAATACTGAGGAACTTCCCCAACCAAGAAAATATGTTGAGATCAGTAAAAAGACAGAAAAATAGGACAGTCATCTAGTTTTCTTAGAATCTATGACTATAGTTAGAAATAGAATCAAGTACATACCATCAGAGGAATACCCAGTAAGGCCTCCAAAAATGACCAGCACATAGCTGACATCAAGCTCCCTCATGATCTCATAGGCTTTTTCTTCTGTGGATGCCATTGCCTAGAAAAATAAATGCACATTTCTCAAAGCAAAAAATTCCAAGTCATGTGATCCCTCAGAGAGAAATATTTCCCACTAGATCCCATGAGCCAAATACTCATATAATCCCTTCACTTTACCTGTCCTACTCGAGAAATATGGGTATTATTCCATGTGTTATTGTCCACTAAAATTGTCCGATTTGCCATAGCCGTAATCTGGTAACCATAATCCCACCATGACATGACCTTCGCATCCTGAAAGAAGAATGGGAAATGAAAATAAGTTGCTCGCTGCCTCCAAAAATCAAATACAAGAGAAAAACTGGAAGGGCATCCTATAGTATAGTAAGTGAGGGACTTCCTACAAAGAAAATAATTCTTGGCACTTGGTACTACATTTACATATAATCGTGAAATCTCAGTGTAAATTATACAATCTAACACTCCCAATACTTTCATCTCAGATCACCTTATATAAACAAGCATAATAGGATGGCAGGTGTAGGGGGACTGTGTGATATTTCCAAATAAACATTCTGGTGTCATCAGATAATTATATTAAATGAGCTTTCACAATTCACAAAAAGCAGTTATTATAAAAATGGGAGGGAATACAAACCACGGGATATGACGCACCAGGATTAAGAAATTCTTACAGCTTAACTCCTTAAGAGTCTAACTCAGAAGTGCTACTCCCAATAGCTACTGCAAAGAAAATCACTTCAGATTCTCAAAAGCTTTTTTTTTTTTTTCAACGTTTATTTATTTTTGGGACAGAGAGAGACAGAGCATGAACGGGGGAGGGGCAGAGAGAGAGGGAGACACAGAATCGGAAACAGGCTCCAGGCTCCAAGCCATCGGCCCAGAGCCTGACGCGGGGCACGAACCCACGGACCACGAGATCGTGACCTGGCTGAAGTCGGACACTTAACCGACTGCGCCACCCAGGCGCCCCCAGATTCTCAAAAGCTTTAAACCAAAATGTTAAAAGTGCTTATCATTCGGTGATCACTTTATGGAAACTATCTTTTTTCATGTTTCTAACTTTCTGACTTCTTTTATAATTGGGATGGTCCACCTCATGATAAAATCACCACAGTGTCAGAGTGTAGATGATTATCAGTAAGGATACAAAAGAAATCCTGAATTGAATGAAGGCTGACTTTCAAGGCTCATTCAGCACGAGGGTTCTATAGTTCCAATTTCTCCAAGCTTTCCACCCATCTAAAAGCTGTATGATTCACTATCAGAGCAAATGTCCCCAACTTGTCCCACTCCCCCCCAAATTTTTACCTCTGGAGTATTGTGACGGAGCCAATAGTATGCTTCTCGAAAGTCATCAAAAATGATCCTACTGCCATCCCCACCACGGGCAGACAGCACGATGGAGGGAGAAGAGTAGGCCTCACTGGTCACCCAGGTTGAATGAAAAGTGTAGGTGATGAGAAAGAAAGCCATGACCAATATCATCCCACTTGCCACCTAAACAAGAAAACTGTGTTGTAAATTAAATTTACAAAACTCAGAACAGCTTCTTACACACAATAATACAGATGAAATGAATCCAAATGAGTCAAGACCTGTATGAGTTCACCCACTATGACAGCACTCTACTCCCTCACTCAAAACACACACACACACACACACACACACACACACAC